TCAGACTAAGTGCAGACAGTGTGGGCGTGTGTGCTGCTGCTGCTGGTGGTGGTGGTGGTTGAGTATTGTGTGCGCCTGGTTAGCATGCGATAGCGACAAATTGCTTGATATTGGCAATAGCATTTCATAATCGAATTGTGTGTCCTTGCCTTTGTCATTGCAGAAATCCTTACAACAGTGGTGCGGGCACTTGCATCACCTACGATGCCATCAATGCGGCGTACGCAGATGCACGTAAGCGCATACGTAAGTATACATATTCATAGTACATATATATATAGATGTGTTTAAATGCATATCTGGTGCACTTTACAGGTGTGGCCGAGCCCAAGTCCGATTGGAAGCCAGAGGAGCTGGCCACCGTGGGCGAGCTACTGCTCGATATATCCATACAGCTGGCTCGCACGTAAGTAAATGTTACGGTAATAAATGCTAAACGCATTTGAAAGTTGCGCCTGGCACGCCCACAGCCCCAATAAACGATTGCCAAATAACGCATGACATGGCACTTAAGTCGTGCTCGTGCTAAAGCTGATGCTGGAGCCCGTCCAGACCGCCTGCAGTCATAAATATGTATGAGCGCAAAGCTGGAACTGAACTAAACTGAATTGGTGCTGCGCCTGGTCTCAAGGTTCTGCGGCTTTAGATGAATTTGAAAGTTTGGCACATGCAAATGCTAATTGCAATGCCAAATTTGCTGTCGTCGTCGCTGTCGGTGGCTTTGACTGATGGCCACTTGGCCACCTGTAGCCAGGGTGCCTAGCTCCATCGATGGGGCAACAACAATCTTCTTCAAACTGGCGCAACTGCATTTTTTCAACCTGCTTCCAAAAAAACTATGAAAATATGTTTGCCAGTTATTTGCTGTGATCGCTACGCGGGATGGCAGTCGCAGTGAGAGTGCTCGCAGCTGTCCCCCCGACAAGAAAACGAGCAGAAGCCAACTGAGGATGCAACAAAGTATTACCAGTTTTACGGTTGGCCAACTGTCGCTTGTGGGTAATCGTGTTGCCGAGTCAGTTGGTCACAGCAGCCGTTTTGCAGTTCCATTCACAGTCGTTGCCTGTGCTTTAACCCATTTGACTTTCTTTTTTGCTCACTCCCCCCGCACTTGGCTCATCTAACATGAATGCAAAGCTTGGCTTTGAGGATCAGCAGCTGCAGCAGTAGTTGTATAATCCTACGATTATTTTACAGTCCCGGCTGCTGACCAATTATTATCAGATATCAGCGTTTTATATGTGAAGTCACTTTTATTAGGATTAGAATGGAGATTTGAAGCAAGCACACGATGGTACTAAGACTGTCATAAATCAGTTTACTTCATATATTTTTCAATTGTTGCACAATCACTCCAAGGTGTGTTGAAATTTCAGCTCAAGCTGCTAACTTAATGAACGAAATGTACTGCTGAGTTTAAAGTCTTCGTTATTAGTCTTGGCTATAATTAGCATATTTTTAATTACCAACAACTGTGTTGGCTTTTGACTTATGTATATACCTTCTCAAGAAATAAAAATAAAATAACAGCAAAAAAAACCAAATTACAATAAATCGTCTCTGTTCAAGATCGGTTAGTTTGTAATGCTTTTTGGAAAGGTTTTCAACGCTCTGCTTAAGGTTTCCCTTTAACAACCTCAACTTCTGGCCATTTCCTCAGTTGGTCTAATTTATAGACCTTCAGTCTATTTAACTGCCAGCCCAATCGACTATGAAGCTGTTTTGTTTTTCACTTTATATCAGCTTGCACTATCTCTGCCAGGGGCAACAACAATAGCTTTGGCCTACCTTCAGCGCCCTTCCCAGTGCTCAGTTTGTTGCACTTTTTCTCACTTTCCCATGCACTTGAGGAAGTGTCGGACAGCAATTTATTTTGCAGCAGTCCCAGAGCTGCATTAGATAAACGATAAGCCACGTTCAGTTCACGGACCACAGAGCTCGCAGTCCGATTCAATAAAACGGCAACTGGCTTCAATTTGCCATTGATGTCGACGTCAAATCTCAAGTATCCACATCAGTGTCTGGCACGGTAAGCCGGGCCAAAAGCGCGTTAATTGCATGCCGCTTACGAACCGGGCTAATTCGATAATTTTGCAATTTTTTGACAAGATTGAAAAATAACAGCTCAAAGGAGAACCAAACGAGCTAAACAGCTGGCGCGACAGGAAAACGCCAAGTTGGGCGATATCCGCAGCTGCTGGCAGCCAATACAGATATAGTTAGATATAATTTGTCAATATTTAGCCATAGTTGGCAGGTAGCTAATTGGCTATTTTGTGTTGCAGCTATGGACTGTCCTATGAGGAAATCGAGAAGGGCCTGCCCACCATAGACACCTCGAAGACACTGATTCGAGAGGTCTGCCCGCCGTTCTTTGCGGGCGTCGAGTGCCGACCGGGCAAATATCGTCGCTTCGATGGCCTGTGCAATAATATTGAGCATCCCACCTGGGGCGCTGCCAATTCGCCATTTCAGCGCCTAATCGGTCCACTCTATGCGGATGGCATCAACGCGCCGCGCATTTCGGTAACCGGTCGCGACTTGCCCTACTCACGTGTGGTCTCGCGCACAATGCACCCAGACGATGGGTATCATGATCACGCAGGCACTGTTATGGTCATTGCCTGGGGCCAGTTCATGGATCACGACTTTACGCTGACTGGCACGCCTCTGGGTAGGTCGAGCAACTGTGCGAATTGAATAGTTGAATAGAACCCTTCACTCCGATTACAGATCCCATCAATCGCAACGATCCGGAGGAGTGCTGCAAGCGACCGCTGCACAAGAAGCATCCATATTGCAATGAGATACGCATTCCAGATGACGATTACTTCTATCGTCTCTTTAATGTCAAGTGTATTGATTTCGTGCGAGGCTTTCCATCGCCGAGACCCGGCTGTCGCTTGGGTGAGTTACGCCCAATAAAGCCAATTGATGATAGCGCATACTCATGCCTTGCACTGCTCTCTTAGGTTCCCGTCAGCAGTTCAATACCTTGACTGGCGTGATTGATGCCAACACTGTGTATGGCGTTAAGGAATCGTTTGCACGCAAGCTACGCACTGGCTACGGGGGACTGATGCGCATGAATCCCGTGTTCCAGGAGTATGGCTTGAAGGACTTGCTGCCACTCAAACTGGATATACCTGATGAGGGCTGCACGCGGCCCAACAAGAGCATGTACTGCTTTGAGGGCGGCGAGATCCGCGTTAATGAGCAGCTAGTGTTGACCTGCATGCACACCCTAATGGCCAGGGAGCACAATCGTCTGGCCACGGGCCTGGCTCATATTAACCACCACTGGGATGACGAGACGCTGTTCCAGGAGGCACGTCGCATCAACATTGCCATCGTCCAGCATGTCACATTTAATGAGTTCTTGCCCATTCTGCTGGGCAAAGAAGTGATGGAGAAGTTTGGCCTGGTGCTGCAGAAGGACGGCTACTGGGATGGCTATGATCCGAACGTCAATCCGGGCATCATTGACTCGTTCGCTGGCGCTGCCTTCCGGTTCGGTCACTCATTGTTGCCCACCGCAGTGGAGCGCTGGTCCAAGGCCCACAAATTCATAGCCTCGAAGCGTTTGTCAGACTTGATTCGACGTCCGTACGATTTGTATAGAGCTGGCGTGCTAGATGAATACTTTATGGGCCTGATGAATCAAGTGGCCCAAGCCATGGATGACTCTATCACCCAAGAGGTTACCAATCACCTTTTCAAAAAGGAGGGCGCACGCTTTGGCATGGACTTGGTGTCATTCAACATGCAGCGTGGACGCGAGTTTGGCATACCCGGCTACATGGAGTTCCGCAAATTCTGTGGCCTGCCCACCTCGAATACCTGGGATGAGATGTATGGCTCCATGCCAAATGAGACTGTACTCCGTTATGGCAGTATATTCGAGTGAGTAATTGAGGCTGCTTCTGGATTAGCTTGTTAATCATCTGCTATCATTACCTAGACATCCTGCTGACATTGATTTATGGTCTGGTGGCGTGTCGGAGAAGTCGCTGCCTGGCTCCATGCTGGGACCCACCTTTGCTTGTGTAATCGCCACACAGATGAGCTACTTGCGTCGGGGCGATCGTTTCTGGTATGAGCTGCCCAACCAGCCGTCCTCCTTTACGCCCGAACAGCTGCAGGAAATACGCAAGGCCAAACTCTCACGTTTGATTTGCGACAATACCGACTTAATTGATACCGTGCAAATCTATCCTATGGTTCTGCCAGATCATGAAATGTAAGTTAAGAACTGTCAGTCTGTCCTGATCTGATCTGACTTAACTTTGGCTTAATCCTCAGCAATCCACGCGTGCCCTGCAAGAGCGGCATTATACCCTCAATTGACCTGAGCAAGTGGGCTGACTTTGGCAGCCACGGCCTGGACCCATCTATCTACGTAAGTCAAGCCCATTGAATATAATGGAACAAGATATTGTACAATGTCTTCTTCTTACTTTTAGAACTACATCAACGAAATACCCGAAACGCTGCTCAACTTTAGAAAGTAAACATCATTTAATACAATTTCTATACACCATTTCGGAAGCACCTCTATACCTTTACCTTTGGCAAGAAGAAGCCCACATGTCTTCAGCATTTAGTTTCTGACTCTACTCTCCCACTCTTCATGTCTCCCACTACCGCTTAGTCTCTTTTACTAGTCTTCTCTCTTGCTGCAACGCCACTTTCGCTCTGATACATCCTAAAGCCAGTCAGTTGTAGCTTCACACTGCCATTTTCTATAGTGATTCCAACATTTCCATGCATGATCCATACATTTTTTGTATATATGTATTATTTTAAAATAGCAAAAGTACAGGGTAAGTGAAAAGAAAAGAAAGGAATAAGGTCGTCAATGACACGCAAGGCCTTTAGTAATGTTAAACCATACGAATATTTCGTTTGTAAGTTTTGTATATGCAAAATCTATGATTTAAATAAAATAAAAACAGAGTTAATATTTGTTCAAATTCTTGTATTTATTTTATGTTGGTTAAGACTATTCAGATAAGTATGTATATAAGTAGGTGCTATAGGAACTTCATTAGTTGCGTGTTGTGCGGCAAAGCCATGTTAGGACTTGCCGGAAACTCTAGGTAAGCATTGTAGTTAAAGCCATTAAATCGTATAGTAAGCGCCAGTTTCAGTGTCGTCGTTGTCGTCGTCGTGGTAGTCATCAGCCAAGATCGTGTTAAGCATCGCATCGCATCGCATCGCATTGACCCAAATACGCGTCTGAGTCACAGGCGATGAATAAACACACACACACACACATATCTATATATACTGTTAATATGATGTCTCCGCATCTTTGAAAGCTCTACTCGAGCGCGTTAAGAAACGGCGCTATGGAGCCAATATCTTCGCAGTCGGGGATCGCTTTGCCTTTAAACTTGAGACAGGACTCGGCGCAGGTCTGACCCTGGAAGTAGTCTCCAAACATTTTCTTGCACTGAGCGCAATTGTTGAGGCAAATCTGTATGAAATCAATGCCACCCATGGGATCTACAAGTCAAAAAGATCAATTAGCATAAGAGTGACTTATGCTATGCCCTTGCCTGCCACGACTTACCAAATCGCTTGCCATAGTGCCCGATCGAGGGCAACGCCTCTCCGTATTGCAGCAGACAAAGAGTAGCCAGCGCTATGCTAGCCAGCAGTAGGGTGTTCTTGCTGCACATGGCTGATAAAGGTCAAGATCTAAGTCAAGCAAATAGTTAAATATATATATATATATGAATATATACGATCAACAAGATTGTGGCTTCTGGTAGAGTACAGCGCTGCGACCGTTGCGCGCCAAGTGCGAAGTTGAAATAATTAAACGCCACGTTTGTCTCTTCTTATTTTATAGGCGACCCAAACACAGATGCGAAAGCTCAACAACGTCAAGAAGTCTGAAACGTTGCCAGCAACGGCAATAACTACGACAGCACTCCAAGCCGGTCTCAGAGAGCCCGCTGTACGTCAGATATTCAAACAAACAGAAGAAAAAAATAGAAACTCAATACAGATTCCACAAACTGCCAATTTGTCTGATATTCGTATGCAAATGTCTATCAGAAATTCTATTTGTTTTTGTCAGGAGTCGCGTGGATCTTTGATAATATAAACTGTCAATCGATTTAATTTTAATAACAATGATTATAACAAGCAAAATATTTATCATCTCACAACGAAATATGTAAATGGGCCCGTTTAGAAAACATCAATTTTAATGCTTGCGAGTTTCTAGATTGCTTAAAAGTGATAAAAAAGTGCGTTGTAAGCTATGGGCAAGATAAACTAGAAAACAAAATACGTCGAAATGTTATCGATTCACGATCGTACGATACTTGGAGACCTGGGGTAGTTGGCACAAAAATCCCCACTCTCAAGAACAAATACTAACTTTGGGAAAGAAAGTTGAGAGAATCGCACGGAAAGTAACAGCAGGAAGTATCGTGGAAACGGGCAGAGCCCAACTGCAGCCGCTGTCATGTTTTAAATAAACTGCATTTAATGCAAATTGCATGAGGCCAAGTTGTTGGTTGCCCAATCGGCGTTCGACCGTTCGCCCGATCGCTCATTAATTAATGACTGCAGCTTAAGGGCATACAACGTAGAACAGAGTTGGGCGAGCCTGTCCAGATGGCAGCGGGTGTTGGCGCTGGCGCCAGCGTAGTCGACCCAGCCGGAGCAACCATAAAATAAGTTACGCCCAATAAAATGCGTGAAATTCTTTTGTTCCAACCGGACACGATGCCAGCGACTGGTTTAGCACTACAGCCAGCCAGCGGCTACACGCTGTCTGGCAGCTTGTCAACAGTAGCGTCACTTTCATTACCCTCGCAGAGGGTAAGTTAGCTATGCCAGAAGCTTTCTAACGCACAGAACTAGACAGAGCCAATTTCACAAAGTGAAATGTTCCTAAACTTCTTCTGCTAAAAATTTATTTGCTCTAACCTCATGTATTTCTTGAATAAAGACAAATTGGTTGCATAAAACAGTTCAGATCAATCCAAAGCAAACCATGCTTTATGCAATATCAATCAATGTCGAACAATATAAAGCCTGCAAGAGTATTTACTCATCGATATTTCGAGCTTTGATTGAGCTTGTATTGTTTACACTTTATACAGTTTTTAGCACAAACAAAATCAGACGTTAACTAGTCAGCTATGTAAATCGTGGGAAAATATCAAGTTATGCTAATTTTATGCACATAGACAGTTTTGCTATTATTATTATTTCAAGCTAATTGCTAACACGCGCCGTACGTATGAGTAATGTGAATTGAGTGCTTAATGCAGCTGCTACGTCACAGACGTTTTGTGGGCGGGACACTTGACACTTGAGCTGGCAACAGCTTTTTGTCTAATTGCTCTGGTGACGTACACAGACTACACAGAGTACTCGGCACTCACCGGTAGTTGATCTTAAGATCTGGAAACGTTTTGTGAGCTCAAGCGCGTACGTGGGTTCGTTGCCAAATCGAAGATTCGGTGTTGGCGGCGTGTTGTTTGCTGAAAACTGGTTCTACACCGACTGTTGCCGAAGTGCAGAGTTCTTATTGTATTATATGTTGTCAGGGAAGCTTTGGGTTTCTACTCACAAATTAATCAATTTGTCTCAGCAACAAACACCTAATTGAATATATGCTCGCCAGTGAGCAAAAAACAAAACTTACTTCCGCTGGCAGCGGTGGCAGCCACTTTCTTGAGTGGTTTTCTCAGCGGTGCTCGGGCTGGATGTCGCTTATCCAGTTTAATTGCGTTTCTTTCGTGACAACTGTAGAAGTCGCTGCGGACTTAAAGCAGGAAATATTAGCAAAGCTTGTTCAACTTATAGGGTTTGCGTTTTCCTTGCCTATAAATCTCGCTCCATAAATCATGAATCTGTAATAATAGACTAAATAGTTGTCTATGTTAAATGTTTGATTCTTAACAATTGCAATTTATTTATACGATATTGCGACTTATATATCGCATGCATCTGGTAAGCAAAAGACTTTGGAGAGCATCCTTCACTTTTACATATGAACTGCTTTACACTGCTTGCTTTGTGTAGAACTTAAGCATTTTCCAGTTATTGAAATAATTATTTTTATTTGATAAAAATAATTAATTGTTTGTTGAAAGTAATGATCTAAGTAATTATATATATAATATTTATTTAGTCAGTATAAAATAATAGAAGATATATAGACTAATATTGGATTTCAGCAGCAATTAAACGAATTATAATAAAAATTTGTAGCTTAATTTGTCCGTTGCAGTGACAAATTTAAATATACATTAAAATACTGCTTGATTAACGACTTCTGTGCACTGCTTGCTGACTACTTATTTTGATCAATGTGGCAGCACTGAGACGCAAGCTTGCAGAAATTTCCGGTAGCTGGCGCCACGCAATGCATTCTGTTATTTGTCATGAGTGCTGTTACTATAGTATATAGTAAGAATATTATTAAATTACCAACTGCGTAGGCAGCACATTATCTGTATACCAATCCGGGACTAGAGCTCGAATTATCGCTGTTATGTTTAGTTTAATCAAGTCATCTACCAAAAAACTGTTAGAGTAAAAAATTATGATACTTATAGCACCGGTTACTTAAGTATTTCTAATAGGCAGTGATCTGATTTATTAAGTCTGATGGCCGCTTATAACGGTATCAAATAAAGGGGAGAATAAACCAAGTTTAGATGAAACTATTCCCCCAACAGTCAATCAACTGCGCTTCAATACAAATCTCATTATTAAAGTGTTGGCCAAATTAAGTTTTTCCCGGGCGTACGTGTGCTGGGAAGTTAGATGATGCCGGATGCTGCTTGCCCTGTGGTTGATAGCCATTTGCTGTTGAAATTCCACAAAAGCCAAAAATTTTCTCCGCTGACCGGCATTTGTGAGTGTTTGTGTGTGTGTTTGTGTGTGAGTGATTGTGTGTGTGAGTGTGGAACCACATTGAAAGTATTGCCGCACAACAAACATCAGCGGCTACGATCTGCAGAAACTTTTATTAGTGGCTGGCTGCAGCACTCGCGGCTCAGCGGGTAAATCAGCAAAAGATTTTCTTCAATGCAGTGCAATTTTATTGCATTTTCTTCCCTTTTTTCTTGTTTTTTTTTTCGTTTAATTTTATTTTGCAACATCAACTTTTATTTTAAGGCAAGGCAAGGCAAGGTTTTCTGCGTTTATTTATGAGCTTTGCTCGCAATCGATGCGTTCATGTGCGCCAATACATTGCAACAGTTTTTCTTATCCTTCCTCATATGCTCGACGAAGGCTCCACATTTCAGTCGACTCGGTCACGTAAGCATTAAATTTTGAAGCAGACAATACGTTCATTGTCCCAGTGATTTGAGCTTAAAGATATATTGGCAGCGAGCAGCGTTTCGAGAACATGACAATGGCCCAATGAAGCCTATTTGTAGCCTGGCTGCAAACTTTTACAATGCGAACAAAAGTTTATTTAAATGTTCATAATCCCTGCACTCGGGAGCCAGTCACGCAGAAGGGCAGGCTAGCAAAGGGGACTAATGAGATACTTAATATAGTTTCAGTTTTTAATAATAGACAGGTGCATGCATCGGTGGCACATACACAATTTTGGCCATGCCAAAAATAAAATGAATGCTTTAAAAATAATTGGTAACTATAAACCCGTTTCATGCACAGCTGGGCACTGGGTTTTCCCTAATAGACTGAAGAACTGCTCGTCAACGTGTCGTATGCGTAATTAAGCATTGAATCCCTCACGCTTTTGACCTTCTCTTGTGCGCTGCCGGGACATGTAAAAAACGTGTTAATCCACAAACTAATTTGATGTTGACGTGCGGGTTTTAGGGGTAGACGAGTTAATTGTTTTTCGTCTCACTTTACACTGGCGCTGGCTGTTGTGGGGCTTTAAAGGCGAGTCATTAGAGCGTTAAAAATTTGTGCGCACTCATTAAAGCCAGAGCTAAAGGTAGAAGTAAAGTTAATTGTGTGGCCAGCTGACAATGGGTCGCATCTTAAAATTGCTGCAATTCAGATTAATGCATCATTCTGCGCATTCAATTGGCGTCAACTTGCTTCAAGCTGCCATCTCTGTTGGTGGTAACAAAAAGGCTTTTGGCATCGGCAACATTCAGGACAGCCCATCGCCCACCTCCCGCAGCTGACAGCTCCCCGCCTGTCGCCCGTCTCACTCAATGTGCTCAAAATGAAATCAGTGAAATGCTGGAAATTAAAAAATAACGAGATAATTAAAAGCTACCCCGCAGTTATTTGCGTGTGTGTCCTTTGCGCACGTAAAGCAGCTTAAGTAGCGGCATTGTGGCTGCCCTTGCGGGATGCTGTTCTCGCTGTTGATGCTGTTGTTCTTCGTCTACTTTTTGTTGACGTCTCCATGCTAGGCCATCCGTTAACGCTTGAGTATGTGTGCCCTCCCTCCGTACTTACCCACATCAGAGCTGATAATCACGTCAGTTTCTTCTTCCACATTTTCACTGCCATTCACAGCTCAAGCTTAGCTCGCTTCCCATCATTGTTAGGTAATTAATATTTGTACAAAGTCAACGACCTAATTGTCTAACTGAAGTACTTAACAGTTATTAATGGATTTCAATAAAATAACAAAGGTACACGAGCGTGCTCTTGTTTTGTAAGTGAATGACAATGTCGATAATGATATACTGCATATTATCTTTAGAATATAATATACAATATTTACAGGTCTGCTACAGGTTCACTATTTTATTCGCTTGTTAAGTACCAACACACAAAAACACTCTAGCGTACTTGTGATCCAATGATACATAGCAGAATATACGATATGCTTCATTTGGGATACGATACGATACGGTATTTAGGGTTTTGCAGTATACAGTGTACCCGCTTGTTCTCTACACTCACGCACAATATACGATATTCAATATTACGATATTTGCAATTATATTGTTTCTGTATTCTGTATTTGCTGGTACGATATACGGTACGAAATCTGCAGTTATGTTTCTGTAAGCCCACTCACACCCACTCTTTGACACTTACGTATATACCATAATAAACATCTATTAAGACTACTTTGCATAGCTTGAGGCAAAATAAATTTAATTTTTAATATTTATGCGCATTTAATTGCTTAAATTATTTGAATTCTTTTATTTCAATGATTTTATGAAGCTCACAATGTTTTTATGAGCATTTATTTTTATTCTGACTTTCACATATTATTCAAGAATTTTTTGAAAATAAAAAAATGATATTTTGTTAGTTGTTGCGTTTGTTGGACGGCATATGATTTCCTATTGCCGCCGTAGGGCATCAGATATGCTGATGTGCTTGATGCAAATGTATCCGAAATGCCAAACATTTTTAATTAAACATTTATTAGTTGGCCAACTGAATAAAACAACAGCTTTTGTAATATAAGTAAATATAATTGTAAAACCTACTCAAACGTACTTTACGCTAATACAATTAAAGAGCATTTAGCTTTTAGAGATGCCCGTCGACTGCACTTGCACAATGCCACGAAAATCAAATGAAGTGCAAAACTGTCTATCTCTTTCTCTCTTTCTATGCTTGTTGCTATCCCCGCGCATCAATTAATTCACTCATCGAGCAATGCCTGTCAATTACGAGCAGTTGTTTTAATGACCGCGAAAAATTGACCAAGACTCGACAAAAAATACACAAATGCTACATAATTAGGACACATTCAGGAATTTACTAATTAAGTTCATAATATGGCGCACACATGTAATTACAACTAATTACTGACTGAGCTGTCTGGGGTAGCAGCAAGAGCGATGAATGCAGAAACTAATTAAGCTCCAACTGAAGTACAGTTGACAAACAGTTCGTGGTTTGTGACATTTATCGATGAACGTTTCTGATTAACAGCAGAAATTAACATTTACTTGTTTAATTACAAAGTACAATTAAGTACAAAGTGCATGATAAATTTGAAGAATAGAATCCCTATTTCGATAAAATGTTAACAATTTGCTAGCCTTGCTCTGCCATACGCTTATTTACAATAAAATGTCAAACTAAACCCACATAAAAGCAACTATCAGCTGCTAAATGGGTTGTCTACAGAAGACAGTGTAGCCAACTCAAAGTTGTAAGCCTCTAAAAAACACACTTAAGTAATAACAATATGGTAGCTTCAGATGGACTTATAAATTATGTATTCCGCCCATGGAGGAGTGACAAATTTCAACAAAAAAATTTTGCTATTTTGAAGTCTCAACAAATATTTTGCAATCGCTTGTGCCCAACCGTAAAACTCTAGCGTTTGGAAATGCATAATGAAAGAAACACAATTTTGACATAAATTAACTATTTTAAAGGCAAAAACTGTGAATGCTAACTTTGCCCCTTCACTTCATGCTTTGGGGTGATAGTTTATTAAATCTTTGTTAAAAATAGAGCAGCATTAATATTACAAAGAGGAAAACAATACTGGCTTTTGACAAATTTATAAAGAAATGAATGCAAAACCACTTAATAAAAACGATATTAGATGCTGAAAGCCGTCAGACTATGTCTAAATAGCAAAGCCACATCCTTTCTTTATGGAAAATTAAAATGTTGCAGTAAAAAGTGCTACGAATATTGACTGGAACTGACAGACGTGTAAGGAGCTCATAACTTATTGGCTGCGCAGCTAAGCCAGCTCGCATCGAAGCCAACTCGCATCTAAGCTGGCTATCAACAGCAAACAACAGGCTAATGCTGAAGGAGAAATCGAAAGAGCTTGAACTTTTGAGAATAAGGTAAATAATATAATAGAAATATAATAAAGTCTAAATAAAGGATACATTTGCTGGCTCAGAGACCCACTCACTAGTTAAGGCTTAGATAAAGTCTAAGACAATAATGTTGGAAGCTTGTTGGTAACTCGGACACCAATCATACGAAGTAAAGGCTTCAGCTGACTCAGTATAATTCGATTTGTATTTTGTGATCTATTGTCAAAGGACAAAAGCAAAGAATAGAAATTAGGAAATAGGAAGCAGAATTGAATAAAAAAAATGGTAAGAGAGTTAATTAAATTATTGAATGTAAAGCTTTCATTTGACTTTATTTTTAAAAATTTACTATAAATATATATATAATAGTATCATCAATAATTAAAGTAAGGAATGTAAAGCTTTCATTTCACTTTTTGAGAGTAAAACCTAAGTTTAATATACATACAAATAGTATTATCAATAATTAAAGGGTATAGTCCAGCAGTCCATTAGTATGGAATTCATTGGCTGTCATAACTGAAATGTGATTATCAGAAGTTTGATTGTTTCGCAGCTAGATTATGTAACCCAATAGAGCCACTTCATTACTGTGACAAAAGAGCTTTGTTTAAGCTAGGTTATAGACATATTGTCATATTGTGCTGAGTTTCCTGTAACTAAACAACAAAGAGTGGAGGGCGAGAGTGCAGGCTTGTGATTACACTGTTTCAATAGATTGTAATATTGTCAAGCCGTTGGCCGAATGCATTCACAGCTTGGATGGGGCAACTTCAAAGAGCTGGGGCTTCACGATAAATAAACCATCGCATAGCCACAGGCCTTGCAAGAGCAGAGGAGGCTTAAAGCCCGTACATCAGTTATTCAAGTTGAGCTTAAAGAGGGCTGAGAACAAACTGTTTATTGAATCTGCCACCATTTTGGCGCTGAAAATAAGCAAGGCTCGCATTGGCCCAAAAATAGCCTTGAAGTTACATTTAGTAACTTGCAGCGCCGATGTCCGTATCGTGCGGCATTGTAAAACTTTTCTGCTGCTGGAGCGTTTTTTATTTGAGTTTTCACTTACCTGGCGCTTAAGTGTTCCATCGCCAGGACCATTTGCCATTTGTTTTGGTACAACACACGCAACGGAGGCAGGCGGCGGCGGCAAGCGGCAGCAGCCGTGGCACCCAGGAAAAGTTTGCGCCAAAGGTAGCCTAGTCTGACAGGCAGCTGGGCGTGCGGGCTACTTTTATGATTATTGCTTTCTGACGCTGCCGCTGCCTCTGCCGCCTTGGAATGAAGGTATTTGTATCTATGCGAACGATTGTGTATCTTCTTACAGATGGTCTTAAGTGTGCCTTAATGTGGATTTTAAGCATTTCTGAGCATAAGCTTGAGATTTAAGGCGCCCAGCCTTGGCGTGCTGCCATTATACGGTGACAACCCCTCTTTATGCATGCTCTCTCTCTCCCTCTCTATGTGTGTGTCTTTCAAGTGGCAACCCTCTTCTGCTGCCGTCTGTCTCTGTGTCTACCTTGAGTCGCACTTCACTTTGTCTAATTGTAAAATAAATAAATGAAATAAAAACGTGAAGTGGCGCGAGCTGCAAAACATGCTAAGGAAATGGCAAATTGTGCACGAGCTGCAACGCCTGGCAGCTACCACACACTTCTAATGCACGCCCACGCACACGCGAGCACACAATGTTTAAATTGAAGTGCAGGCAAAGCCACGCGAAAAGAAACAACTGTCAAAAATAATAAATCAACATGGTGGATACATTGAAAAATGCAAGGTGTTGTCTGCCACTTGGCAGTTCTCTTTGCCAAAGACAGTAGCAGCAGCAGCAGCAGCAGCAGCAGCAGAAAGCTTTCAATTTCTAGAGCAAACCACTAAGCAGGCAGCCGACAGGGCGATCCCGACACTTGGCTGACTAGCTGACTAGCTGAGCAGAGGACTGCCAGACTGACAACCTGACTGACAGCGCTCAGTTATAAAACTCACTCAACAACAACAATCAAAAGCAACCCCTGCAGGGCTTTCAGCTTTCAGCTATCATCGCCCCGTTCCCCATTCTCCTTCAATCTGTGGCCAGCATCAGCTCGACAAGAGTCGACGAAGTTGTTTAAGTACTTTGCGGGCAAAATGGCTTGCCGCCGCAATTTAGATAAATTTTAATTTTAATAAAGTGTTTGTGCTGCACTCCCGGCACACTCCAGCTGATACTCATAGAATTATGAATTAATTATATCAGCCTGATGTTGGCTTTGGTTCGTTTCGTCTAATTTTGGGTTTCTGGTATTTTTTGGGCTTCGCGTATTTCACCTTGTTTCTGCTAGCACCGCTTTTCCCAGTTGCCCTCCTCGGCTTGGGCGGCTGACGTTGCGGAGTGATATAGTAACGTGATCGTACTTTTATAATCACCTTACATTTCAGGCAACTTTCGAGAGCATCCTTGACGATCGTGTTGCATGCATTGGCGGGAAATCCGCTTCGAGCACCAAAATAGTAGCCCAGCTTTTGAAACGTGACGCCTTGTCCGAGTTCAGTTAGTGCAGTCAACACTAGGTCAATAGGTGTCTCAATGGTAACATCGTGATAGATGAGCGCCATGGAAACTTTGAGAATTACTTACTGAATAATTTAACTACAGTTGCTTTGATAAATACAAATAGTTTGAATATATTTTTTATAAAATGTTTCCCATTAAATAATTCGCTTTGATTTTATTTATCGCGAAGCAATTTAATGAGCTTGCCGCCGATTTAGTAGCTCCTTTAATGGGGCAGATGGCAAAGCCTGTTCCGCTGACTGGAGAACAATGCCAAAAGTTCAAGCCCGGCCAAAAGTTGCTGGCGCACAATTTGAATGAAGCGCGCAAATTGAATAAAAGGGCAACGCCACAGCTCAAGCTGAAAAAATGCTGGCCGTGATAAAATCATCAGTTTGCCAGCTCTTTCAGAAATGTTTTCCTTTTTTGTTTTCCCTTTTGCCTTCCTTTTCTTGTCTTCCTTTTTAGATTTTTCTCATTTGTTTTTTTTTTTGCATTTTTACGCTTTGTGATCGACCCTGTGGAAGGTGTGGGTGTGGGAGTGGGAGTTGGAGTTGAAGCTGGAGCTAGCCATGCGGGCGGGCTGAACATAAATTTTTATTGCACAAGCGAATTCAATAAAGTGGGCGTTGGATGTACCAATGTATTCGGCTGGAGCCATCGGCCAATTCTTAATTTAATTAGATTTTCATTGCAATGGAGACAAGGCCAGAGACAGCAAATAAAAGGAAATAGGTAAACAGACAACAAACACAATCAAGTTGCAGCTGGAAATTGGGATTTGTACTTAAAAGATTTCATTACGTCAGCGTTAATCTAGTTGATTGAATAGAATGCTCTTATTGAGTTTTAATTAAAAATGATTTAGTAACTGTGTTGGCTTTCGATTGAGTCTGAAATCATTTAGTTGCCAGTAATTTATTATCAATGTGATATAAGAGTGACAAAGCTCCCTGTCTATCTAACTGCAATATATTCACTACAAATTATGTAAATGACTGCAAAAAACGATGATTCCATAACAAAAGCAGCCAAATGGGCGTGACTAAAGCGGTTGGGGCATTATATCAAATTTGAATCCATTGACCAAAACTGCGTATTACGCAAACTTAATGCGGCCAGATAACCACAACTTAGTGTTCTTGTATGTATGAGTGTGTGTGTGTGTGGGTGTGGGTGTATTTTGGCGGGTGTGATGTATATGAGAGACAGAGAGAGAGAGAGGGCCATATTTATGGCTCTCTGTATGCATGGAGATATGTGAATGAATTGAATTTAATTTTATGCATTTGCAGTATGAACGCATAAATTATGATAAAAGGCATAAAATATGCATGTGTGGGGTAAGGGAAGTGGGTTAAGCTAGGGAAGTAGGAGTAACTAAACTAACGCAGCCGACTAAATTATGTTGATGGGCCGGAAGTGCGGATGTATAGCCTCCCACTGGGTCGAAATAATCGACATTAATATTCAGGTCCATTCTCTAGGTTGGGTGTTATGCAAAAACAATGTCAAAGCTCAGCTGCCACAGATGTTCACTAAATTAGTTCGGCACACACTCACACACGCACACACATAAATTTATGGCGAAGCGGAAAAAAGGGGCAAAGTTCAGGCAAATGTTTGCACAGGCTCAGAGGACCACCTGTTCACAGTTGTCATATGTAGAATGAAACTGGACATCAGCTAATCCAGCTGAGCGCCAATTTGGCGTACATGTCGTCGGTTTCAGTTCTCGTTTTTTCGTTTTTGCTATTCGCTTTTGCGCCCATTTGGAAGACGAGTTGCCTAGTTACCTGGCCAGCTGAAATTGTGAACGTGTGTGCGCAATTAGCAGATAGCTCTCTGTGTGCTTGTGTGTGCTCAAAGCCAAAGCCAAAGCCAAATCCAAAGCACTGGGAGGCTGTTTGGCTTCCATTAATATGCCGCCAGCAGGCGAGCCATTAGATGCAGCTCACAGTCACTTTATGAACAATCCATAGAAAAAAATGGAAAATTCTGTATAAAGCGTATTCCAAGCTAATTGAAAACACTTTGCATCATCAATAACAAAAGCCAATTCATCGAGCCACCTATTGCCGAATGGCAGATGCACAAAGCGTCGAATTGCTTGGCAAAAACAACCCTTTGATAAGGACAACCCTTCGATAAGCCTTCAATTATAGGCTGCTGTGGCTAGTCAGGGCAGAGCTTCGATACGAGAAATATGTAGATTCATGACGCATAGGCTGACAATGCTGGTTTCAACTAGACTTAAGCTTGAACACAAAAAATCACGTGATTTGAATGTCCTGCATAATTTGTTCAGGCGTTGAAAAATCGCACACACACACACAGACATCAAGCCAACCATGGCTTATGAACTGATTTAAAGATGTATATATGTATGCTGTATTCAGGTGGACTTCGATATTGAGCCCTCAACAATAAGTTGATAAAATGCCTTTCATTTTTCCTTTGTGTGTTCCTTCTGCCTGCTACAAAATCAATTTACAACGGAAGCTTGCTTGCATAACCCTTGAGACACGTAATCCTGTTTATATGTTTGTACGGCTATGCCTGCACGAGTCTATCCCACACGTTCGTGCTATACGTAATTGTGTATGTGTGCGTGTGTGTGTGGTTGTTTGCGTGTGTGTGTGTGTGCCTCCCTTGGCATTTTGCAAAATAGTATCACAGGTTGAGTCTGAATGTCTGAGGACAATGTCAATGTATATCCTACGCCTCAAAGATGTTGTTGTGGACTAGTTGCAGTTTTCGCATATCGATCACATTGTCTTTTGGGACGGCACGTGACCCAATGCCACTAGCAAGCTCATCCTGCATATATATATATGTATATTATATATATGTATTTGTGTGTGTGTGTTCCTCAGCTTGTAAATGATTCGATTGCACTTTATAATTGCTTTATGCCTGTCAGTATTTATTTGGCCTGGTTTGCTTATCTCTTTCTGGCCAAACTTTAATAAATATTCAGCTGAGGCATTGATTGCTTATCATCTGTCTCCTTTTTAATTGTATTATTTGCTGTTTTCAAGCATTCATTTCTAAGCACATACCTCGCAAATTTCAATAATTGAATCGTGTGAAAAGTTTGAATTTTTGCTTTGAAAACTTTTGATTTTCTTATTCCTAAGGCAAAAGTTTATAAGTACTTCTTGTTGCCAACCTACAGCTAATTTCATGTTACATATTTTCATAGTTCAAGTATATTTCAATTTATATCTACACAATGTAAAGTTGGTTGCATACAAACAATTAATTAAAGATATTTGGGCAGAGCTCATAAGATTTTTTGATGCGGACCTTCAATAGAAAATATATTCAAATCAGAAAAGTCTGTTTTTATTCTTTGAAATGTTTTTTTTTTCACAAAAAAGTTTAAAAATTTGAATATCCTTTAGAAGAAGTATCTACCTTGCTCGAACCTGCATCGTTCTATATGAATACTATAGAATGGATAATGTTTATTAAAAATGTAATAAAACTGTTATACACAGAGACTCTGCTCATTGACCGACTTAAGAATTTTTACGAAATTTTCCAGATTTGTCTGCAATTAATTCTTAAAACGCAGTCTCAGAATTTATTCCTTTTATTGATATTATATTTTTACAATTATATTTTATTATATTTATTCCACTTATCCATTTAGTTCCTTTCCTCTCTCGGTTCAATGCATTCGTGCTAAACCCTAAGGAATAAAATGTAGATGTCTTAATGGAATTCAAAACGAAATATGCAGTAAACAACTAACTTTTTGTTAGCTTAGCAAAAAGAAAACTACATCAGTAACTAATGGATAGGCAAGAATTATTAGCAGCAAAGAGTTCAAATATTCTTTATAATGCAAATGCAGCTGGAGTTGATTGCGCTGGCTGACTGACACTTGGACTGGACAGCTGGCTGAGTAAATTAGATTAAAGACATCGAAAGCCACTCAAAGTCCACTTGACTGCACTACACGAGCCGTGCCCTGGCAGCCACTTAAACTTTTCCAAAGTTTGTGCGCAACAACTCATTGTTGAGCAGAGTGGATTGCCCTTCAGCTGATGCACCTTTTGTGCTGCTTGCAGTCAAAGTTGCATTTGCAGGGGCTTAGCAACATTGCACAAATTCAATTGATTTGCCTTTGAAGTGCAACGAGTTTAAGCACTGCACAAATACAACTAATGCAATGCATGCCCCAAGAACTTGGCTAAGTGATTTTGCAAAGTTCTTCTTTAATGAAACTGTATGCAAGTGCTCTCTCTCTCTCTCCGTCTCTTGTCTCTCTTCGCCCTTTATATGTAATTAAAATGATTGATTTTTCGGATTTGGCCAAAAGTATTCGCCATTCGTACTTTTGTGCTTGCCATGCACTTATATCCGATTTTTTTGACTGTTTGCTTAGTTCTTTGGATTTAAAAGGGCTTACCAAACATTTGGCAAGCCGAGTTGCGAACCGAACAACCCACCAAGCGGATTCTGGCCGAGAAGCAGCAACTGGGGCGGGCCATAATTTATGCGGCTCTGTTTTTCAACAATTTTATTGGCATTTTCAGTTGGCGTAACAAGTTTGGCTAATTTATTACAATGGACGCCTCGTAAATTGCGAGCTCGCGTCCGTGTCCGTGTCCGTTTCCGTGCCCGACTGACATTCGTTGAGCAATGAGGATGTTAATGCCCAAAATTTATACGCATCGTCCGCGCAATATGGCAAGCAGCTCACGCTTCTCAATTTCATTTATATAGCACGGAACTGGCGTGTCTTTCGAATGTGCGCACACTGCATAATCCCGGCTAATTAGCTTCAATTGTCGCTGTCATAAAGCGCATCCTTGCGGCCCTCTTAAGCGCGCCATTAACAAGTAAGGCGACTTGTCAACCTTGGCAGGTGGTAGCAGCAGCGGCTTATTGCCAAATTAATTAGCTGTCAATTATGTGAAAAGTTTCATTTGAGCAGCGGTCCACAAGTTTAATTAAGTTTCCGCTTAACTCTGAAGAGCTTCTGCTTGTATTGGAATATGCGTGTTTGTTGTTGTGTGAGGTCTTCAAATAGGAATTCCTTGGCTGTCACATCCAACTAACCACAATACAAATTACTTGGGCACGCAATGGGCCAAGA